CCCGGTGATGGTTTTTTTTAGCTTTTTTAAAATCTTTTCTTTTGTGAGTGCATAATATCGTTACGTTACATATGTTTGTATATAATCTTTATAAAACTATAAAAGTATTTCGTATTTTGAAATAATAAACAAAAAGAGCTACCATTGTTAGGAGTCTAACCTCTAGTTTCTTGTTCAGAAGTTCGATGCCTTATCCACTCGAGCTACACTGGCATACAATCTGGCGTAGATTTTTTACTATAAATAAACAATTTTTTTGAGGAAAAAAATGTTACAGATCAAAATTAAGAAGAGCTTGATGCAATGTAATTTTCAAGTGAAAATCAAACTGTAAAACTTGATGACTAATTCAGTATGATTTAACATATGCTTTAACATTACTTACATTATATAAAAGTGAATTACATTGTATAAAAGTGCTGCATCTTTTCAATTTAGAGAAATAACTATGTAATTGTTTAGAGACAACTTTCTTCAAGTTTTATTCATCACAAAGTTCATTATTTGTACACAAAAATTAATAACTTAATCAAAAGTATTTAAAAAATTTGATTTCCTTCTAGAGAAAATAGTTGCAACTTCACAAAATGTTGACCAAGTTGTATTTTGCTATCAATATTTCATGGCAAATCCTTTGTTGCCGATCACAGCCTTGCATTTTCGAGGCATAGATTCGATCAGGTGATCAATGAAACTTTGTGGAACCGCTGCCCAGGCCTATTGTTTTTTTTTTAAACAGTTGATCCTTATTACGAACACCTTCAAGGTTAGTTCTGCGGTTGACGATCGCAAAGTTCTCCCAAAATTCTCAACCCTATCGAGAACCTAAAGGTTCTCGATAGGGTTGAGATCCGGAGATTGAGGCAGCCAATCCATCACTGATAGGTGGATGTCTTAAAACCACTGCTTGACTACTTTTGCAGTGTGTTTCGGATCGTTGTCTTGCTAAAAAACCCATTTTATTGGCATATTCTATTTAGCATGAGGTAAGATAACATTTTTCAGGATATTTTTATACATAAAACGGTCCATTATTCAATCGATTCGATGAGTTGGACCTAGACCGTTAGCAGAAAAACAACCCCAGGCTATTACATTGCCTCCACCATGCTTCACGGTCTTATGCCAGTAACGTAAATCGACGCGTATTCCGGCCGGTCGACGTACACGGCAAATACCAACGCTCCCAATGATGTTGAATTTCGAATCATCACTGAACAGGGCAGTTCGCCATTTCTGCACATTCCAGTCAATATGAGATGAGCAAACAGGAGTCTTTTCTTCTGGTTCTTCAGTGAAATCAGCGGTTTCTTTGCAATCCGGCTTCAACAGCACGTCGTCTGATTGTTCGGTCCGATACAAGCTGCTCTAATTGCTTTTGTATTTCGACTGATGATATCCAGGGATCCTTCTTGACAGATCTGACGATCATAGAATCCTCGCTAGAAATGGTGGAATGCGGTCTTCGACCTTTGTTATCTGCTGCCAACTTCCCCGTAGAACGATATTTAGAACATAGTCTTGATACGGCCCATTTTTTCACGCGATATATATCACAAATAATTTTTTGTGACATTCCACTTACGTAATCGCCAAGAGTTTTCTTTCTTAGTTCCAATCCAAGACTCTCGGGAGCCATTTTTGCACTCGAAGTAATAAAAATGATTAAAAAAAAAACAATCACTTTTCTCAAGGCTTACCGTGTTACATTTACCTTGTGATGATACAATAATGAACTACATGTCGGTATACATGTCTCTTATATAGTAAAATGAACCTGTGACCTGTGTGAACCTGTTCTGGAAGATTCTAGATACTTCTTTTCGATGCTTTTTGAGCTTCTGGATGCATCTGGATGCTTCTGAATATTTCTGGATACTTCTGGATGCTTCCAGATACTTCTTCTCGAAAATTCTGGAAGCTTCTGCATGCTTCTGGAAACTTCTGGATATTTCCTTCAATTATTAAAAAACTTCTGTGACGTAGACACGGATCAGACTTAAGAAAATGAAACAAACCAAAAAAATTGGACTTGTTTTGTCCGCTGCAAAATGGCACTTGTCAACGAAATTCTGCCTGTGTGCTGTCACCTATCAGCTGATTGCTCATGTCATGGCATGCAATGACTCCAGACTCCTAAACTGTTTGCTGTGGTAGTGTAGTTTGTTTCGTTTTTAAGACATGTAAAATTAGGAAAACGTTTTAGTCAAATGTTTTGTCTAACACTGTATATATATATATATATATATATATATATATATATATATATATATATATATATATATATATATATATATATATATGTATATGTATATATGTATATATATATATATATATATATATATATATATATATATATATATATATATATATATATATACATATATATATATATATATATATATATATATATATATATATATATATATATATATATATATATATATATATATATATGTGTGTATATATATATATATATATATATATATATATATATATATATATAATAATAATAATAATAATAAACAAGCATAAATATATATTATTCAGAGTTGATTTTGCAAATAAAATGAGGAAGCGGAGCGGGGGTTGCGATTTTCTAAAAGGTACTCGACTGGCTCCTAAAAAAAAGAAAAACTAAAAGCTAATATTTAATTGACTGAGTTAGTTGTGTCAAATATCTGACTAGCCGACTAAATTGGTATAAAAACCGACTATAACCTGAAAATCGACTTCTTTGGGGATGGTATGAGGAATAGAGGTGGAACAGACCCCACCCTTTCCAACCCCACCCCACCGTAGAAGCGCGCCTCTGTTACTAACCAAAGATGATTTAACTATGAAAAAGTTTATGATTTGATTAATACAAACAAAATATTATAATTTTAACCATATACATTTAATTATCTACTTTTTTTGACCATAATTTGACTTAATTGATTCCACTGTTATTGGAATTAAATTTAATTTTGAAAAAATACTATTTTGTTCCAATCAAAGCAACTGGTTCCGTGATTAAGAACATTTTGATTCTTTTTTCAGAACATGTTTTTTTTTTTTAATAAAAAAAAAAACAGTAAAGTTAACAAAAATTGATTGAAAATGTTTTTTATCTATACAGTGCATATTTAAACAGTTGTTACTGAGTATTTTTAAATTGTGCTTGAACTATTTGTACAACCTTTTGTTTTTGATATTGATTAGATAAGGAAAATCTTTAGAGTTCCATGTGAGGAGACTTTGGACTGTTTTATTATAATACTAAAACATCATGCTTACAGAAACTTATAAGTTTGAATTGTTATTTTGCAATTTAAATATCATCAAATTGAACACAAAAAACCATATAACCCACAGCAATGTAGTTTACCTAGCACAATCAATATAGTGTAAAGATAAAACTAGATCACCAAAAAATAATGACCCAAAAAAACTTTGAATCAATAGTGCACATGCATTTTTTGAGGTATAACTATCAAAATGCGTCATGACGTAGAAAAAAAGGCGTTTTACTAACATAGTATTTACTAGTATATATATATATATATATATATATATATATATATATATATATATATATATATATATATATATATATATATATATATATATATATATATATATATATATATATATATATATATATATATATATATATATATATATATATATATATATATATACATCTTATCTTTGCTTACATCTACCTGAAAAAGTAAAAAATAATAAATTTTTTCGTTCAAAAAATATTTAACAAATTTTAAATTTGAAAACATAAAACAAAATGCAATAAAGAAGCTATTGCCGAAATTAAATTTTATTCAATTTAAGAGGCTTTTTTATTTTATTCTAATCATTGCATTAAGAACTGGAAATTACTTTTATAATAATTTCTTTTTAATAAACGTCTAAATGCATTTTTAATGGCCGAATTTGAGATAAAGTAGCTCGATTTCAATAAGAAATTTTTTATATTTGGTATTCTTAGCAATTTTTAAAACTCTTGAAATATGCAAATTTTACTCTGCTTGCGGATAATAACTTTCCACCTTTTAGGAAGTCTAAACGACCGCGTAAGAGCCAGAGTGGCCTAACCCTTAATTTTTCCAATTTGCAGTTTATGGTCTACTTGTGAGGATTTTTTAACATATTTTACTGTGTTAAAATGGCTTAACCCCCACTGATTTCTACTTTAATATTCTATGCTATTTTAAAATTTGACGTTAACTGTTTTTAAATGCTTGATTAAGTTTGTTTTAATGACTTGATAAAGTTGCAATTTTCGCAGAAGGAGCCGTAGCGGGGTTAAATCATTCTGGCTCTCAGCGCCTCATTTACGAATTTCAAGGTTTGTGAGTTATTTTTATCATCAAGAGTTACCAAACACTTATTTATAGTAACGCAACTTTTTATGTTATATTAATTGTTTTTTTTTATAAAATCATTAAACAGAATACCCTCTACCCAAAGATTTTTAGAATAAACTTTGATTGTTCCTGGTAGTTCATTATTATTATACAGTCGATTTTGCTTTCATTATCTAATAAAATATACAAATATGCAGTTTCTCAAACGTTTAAAGCTTGCATGGCATTGGTCATTTGATTTTTTTTGGCCACTAGTTACTAAAAATTCAATACTTGTGTTCTATATTGCTAAAGAAACCACTAGTTTTTGAAGATACGTGTGACCTATAAAATTTATGAAATCACAACTATATAAACAGAATAAAAACGCTAAAAAAATACGCACAAAAAACGAGATTTTCCTGTTTTGCCCTGAATTACCCTATAGTAAATAACAAACAAGACGATAATAATTTCAGGAGTTGTGGTGTGGCTGTAAGGTGATCATGAGTTTAAAAAATACCCAGAATGAATTTTTTTAGGTTTAATAATTAAGTAAAGCACTTTATTAATAATTCAGATGATTGTTGTATTAAATTTCTTCATTAGGATTTTAAACTTTAGCAATTTAATTTCTTTCCTATTTTTGTTAAGGTTCCAGTATTTGCGCAGCAAGGATCTTCAACATTGTCTCAGTTAGGACTTTTATATGATTGTCGTCAAGCTAAAGTTATTGAAGATTCTTTTTTTTGGTCCCCCGAAACTATTTCCTCATTCAAGACAGAAAAACTTTTTGTAAGTTTTTTTTTAATGTTTTTTTAATATTATTATTAGAAAGCATTGATAACTTATCTTGTTAATATTATTTTAACTTCGTTTATTTTATTAACTTTTTTTTATTTATTCTTGATAATAATGTTTAAATATTTTACACTTTTTATATTTTTATTTATGTTTATTATGTTTTATAGGCATTATCTGTATACATTAAAAAAATATGATTCATTAGAAAATGAAAAAGCAGACAATTAGTTGTCAAAACAATTTAGGATTATGTTAATTGAAGAATAAATAACAATTGTACACTCATTATATGATTGTTATGTGTTGGTTTTGTACTTGGATGGTCTGCAAGCTTGCATAATATCCAAGTATAAAACCGCAATCAAGAAATAACAGATATAAACTCCAGATAATTTGGCACAATGCTCCTTTTAGTGCAAATGTTTTAACTAAAACAGACAAATATTTTTTGGGCCTCCTTGACCTCTACTTTCAAATTTACCACTTCGACTTCGTAAAATATTTAGTTGATACACAATAAAAGTAAGATTATTCCTGCAAGCCTAACATTAAATCTATTATAAACTTTTGAAACAAATATTGAAAAAAAAAACTTGCAACTGCATCGACAAATCTTAATATCTAATGAACAACTGTTGCCTGTCTAATAACATTATTTATCAGGCTGTGATTAAATTAAACAATATAAAGAAAAAGTAAATTTTGGAATCAGCGAAACATCTTTTAAACTTCGTTATGCAAACTAAATAAAATATTTTATCTAATAAAGTATAGCATTTAAAAGAAAAAGATTTTATACTTTTTATTAAACAGTTTTATTAAACAATAAATTTGAGGAAATTATTAAATAATGCTAACCATACAACGTGACATCAAAAGTTTTCAATCTCTGTTTAAATGAGTAGTTTCAAATTTTGTTATATATGGTAGAAAATCTACTAATCAAGGAGCGAAATTATCTCAAAGTATAATTAATATTTCATGATTTTAAATTTGATACTAGAGAATAATCCTACATCATTTACATCGAATTTTGCTTCCATTGAGTCATTAAAACTCACGCCACCGTAGTTATAATTGCAATTCTACCCCAAATAACACCAAGGTAGCAGACCGACATCTAAAATAGATATATAAATAATACACGAAGATGTAATTTTTGCATATTTTTGATAGATATTTTTGATAGATATTTTTGATATATATTTTTGATAGATATTTTTGATAGATATTTTTGATAGATATTTTTGATAGATATTTTTGATAGATATTTTTGATAGATATTTTGATTTGATTTTGTACAAGCCTCAGAAACATAATCTTGGTTCTCAATTCTTTTTATATATATTCAGTTTTTTCACTGCCAAGAGATACTGTGACAGTTTTATTTATGATAAGGTGATAACCGATCAGAAAAATCACACTATTTAATTTTTATGACTGCCAAATAGCAATTAAACGTCGCTCATTTCTTCCTAGCAAAGATGTCTATTTAATACCATTTTAATGGTAGCTTTAAAAAAAATTTTGTCTTTAAATCTGAATATAAATTTTTCGTATTTTTGTACAAGTTTTAATACCATCTATGAAAAATCGATTGTTACAAATAAGTAAACAGCTACATAAAGTGTAAAAAGTTTTATTATCTAAAGTGAAAAGTTTGAACTAAATAATTTTAATTAAGTTTTGTAGCATTTTGTGTAAAAGTTATTTTAACTATGTCTACTAAGGATTTCTATTTTTTATTGAATTTTATTGTTTTTGTATTGTTTAATCAACCCCTCTTTGATTATGTAAAATAAATTTAACTTTAAACTTAAAAGGCTTTCAAAAACAAAAATAGCTGCGGGTCCCAAGAAGTCCTAATCCACTAGTGCGTGCGTGTGTGTGTGTGTGTCTGTGCGCGTTTGTGTGTGCACACAGTGCGTGCAGTGTGCACACAGTGTGTGCAGTGTGCACACAGTGCGTGCAGTGTGCACACAGTGTGTGCAGTGTGCACACAGTGCGTGCAGTGTGCACACAGTGTGTGCGTGCGTATGTGTGTGTGTGTGTGTGTGTGTGTGTGTGTGTGTGTGTGTGTGTGTGTGTGTAAGTGTATTTATTGAGCACAAATACACATTTGCGCAATCTCTTAATTTACTAATTTTAATTACAGATTTTGAAAGATCATTATTTAAAATGAAATAAAATGAAATTTCATTGAAGTATAAAATTGTAACTCAATGTTAAAGTTTTGAAAAGCACACAAAAATTATTATTAGCCATCTTTAATCGCAAAACAACTTATAACCGTTGTTTTTGAAACTTTTAAATATCTAAACGTAATTCTAAAAAAGTTGCTTTAAACCAGTTCTCATCAGCTTAAAACTTATTTTTTTTCATTTTCATATTAGAATGTTTTTTAAAAGTAAGATCCACCATAAGTTGAATTTTTCTTACTTTCATTTTTTTAATGAAACGCTATTTAAATGATTTCTTTATTTTTTAAAAAATAAAGTTAATGATTTTTAACTAATGGTTTAAGAGCAGTTAACGCAATAACAATAAAAAACGTTGTAAACAATAGCCTTGGCATTAAAAAATGCCAATATCTAATATTCATTCCGTAGTAGCTTTTAAACAATCTTAATTATTTATTGCTTTATCTTAAAAATGAAGCAACTCATAAGAAGATATGCATGTTTAAATGCAAACACATTCGGAGTAAAACATGCAAACTCTACCTTCAGGAAGTAGATAAATCTTGGCTGTTTTTTCCGCTTTATTGTTACGTTGTTAATGAGCAACTCAGGAATTTTTAAAGGTAGAGACATTGAATGACCTTTTTTATGAAATAAGATGTAGTTAATTTTTCAAAGTTTAAAGATAAACTATAGTTTTCCAGTTCAGCATTCATTGTTCCAAACATCGATTTTAAATTACTATGATTAAAAAACAAAGTTGTGTCATTAGCATACATTATTGAAGACCCTATAGATGATTCTTTATGCATATTATTGATGTAAACTAAAAACAATAACGGTCCTAAGATTGAGCCTTAAGGAACCCCTCGCACAATACAAAAAACACTCGACCCTTTGTTTATTACTAACTGCTTTTTGTTACTCAAATAGTTTTTTACCCATTTATACATTTGTCCTTTGATACCTTAATGTTCTAATTTTGATAGTAAGATGTTGTGGTCATTTGTATCAAATGCCTTTCATAGGTCTATAAATACTCCGATGATCTCCTTTATCAAAGAAATGAAATATTTTATTAGTACGTTTAATAACAGCATGCTCTCTTGAACAACTTTTTTGAAAACAAAAAAAGCAAAAAATTGATTTTTATATAAAACTTTGTTTAAATTCAAGTTATAAAAATTCGATTGTAGATTACTTTTTCATAAACTTCAGAGAAATTTGGTAGGAGAGAAATTGAACGGCAGTTAAACATGTTATTACCACCTACATTTTTATAAACAGGATTGACCTTAGCAATTTTTAACATATCAGGAAAAGTACTATGTTCAGAAGAAGATGATATTAGATCAAATAAGGGTTTTCTAATACATTCAATGACATTTATTGTTACATTGCTAGTAATGTCGTCATTTCCGCATAACTTACTTCGCTTTAGTTCTGTCAGAGCTGGAAAAAAATATATATACATGATAGGGGTTTTTCTCCAATAAACTCATCAAACTTCTTATTTGGCATCACTATTTTCGAAGCTAGACTGGGACCAAGATTTACAAAGTGTTTGTTAAGTTGATGGTAAATATCTGATTCATTTGTAATGTATTTATTATCACAAAATATTTTTTGAGGTATGCTAAAGGATTTCTTTTTTTCTCTACCAGTTACTTTGTTTATAATTGATCAAGTTTATTTTTTTTTATGTTCAATTTATTTTTATTTAGCAGATTAAAATAATACATTATTTTAGCTTGTCTAATATTTTTTTGAAAAAATTGTTTATAGGCTTTGTATGTTTTTTTATCACCTTCATCCTTTGATTTCAAAAATTTTATATAAAGTTGTTGCTTTTTTTTGGACGATAAGATTACTCGTCATCCATGGATTTTTTAGCGCTTTATTTTTACTTCAGATGTTATTATTGGACAGACAGTATCAAAATATACATTTAACAGTAGCCGTAAAGTTATAAAATGCTTGATTTTGATCCTTAGCTGGGTATATATTTTTCCAGGACTCCTCAAATAGTTTATTTTTTAAATTATTGAGATTTCTTTAAATAAGGTTTTTTTTAGTGACAAGACATTTTTTATTACCACTATTAAATAGAATACCACGTGCAAAGTGAAAAATGGGGAAATGAAAACCATAATCTATATTTATATCACCTGCAAAAAATATATATTTATCATGTTATACACATTCTTGATGTTATGTTTTTTAAGCTATCAACAAAATTATTTTGATTACCATAAGGTGGTCATAAGGACAAAATAAGTAATAATTTGTTAGTTTTATTCAAAACTTCAATGCATACTTCTATGCATTTTGATATGTTTATTTTTTTGCTAAATGTTTTTTCTTTTTTTAATTTAAATTTTTCACCGGCGGCATCGGAGATGGAGATGGAGCGGCATTGGAAGCAACTCTGCTTCTAATGCCGCTCACTCGTGGTTGGCTAATTAATTTATAAAATGATAAATTATAAAGAGAATTTTCTAACAAAGGCATATTTGCTTCCTCCATGTCTCCGAAATACGAATTGCATCAAACAGATAATTTAAAGAGTAATTTAAATGGAATTTTTTAAACGATTTTATATCGATTAAAACGATTGAAACGAATAAAACGATTATAACGATTATAACGATTAAAACGATTATATATTTACACTTAAAATACTAAAGTTTTTTTTGGTTTTTTATTTAATTAATTCATCAGGCTTATAGTATTTATTGCTTAGACATTTAGCATTTAAATTGTTTGTAAAATCGTTTTCATGAGACTTTGAGTTTTCTAAAACAGGAGATA